TAGCATGATGGCGCACTTTTAAAATTATTTTGCAGAGTGTCCAGAGACTGCTGGAGGCAGGGAAATGACACACACACACACACACACACATACACATACACATACACATACACATACACATACACATACACATACACATACACATACACATACACATACACATACACATACACATACACATACACATACACATACACATACACATACACATACACATACACATACACATACACATACACATACACATACACATACACATACACATACACATACACATACACATACACATACACATACCTGCCCATCTCACAACAGTGACTCTGGGCAGCCAACAAGGAATTAAAACAACAGTAGCTGCAAACAATGACCCACGTTTTCAAGCAGCATTGCAAAAACAAAGCAAAAAAAAAAAAATCTGTATTTTTCCAGCTTTCTTTATTCAGTTATATCAGTCTACCTAACCTTTTTATATAGATCTCAGGTAAGATATTGCCATTGCCTTAGAAAAGAAAATCATGTAATATTTAAGGTTTAAATATTGTATTTTACAAAAATAGGAAGCCTACAGAATAAAATCAGTTGTCTACAAACTCAGCACAGTCCATACTGGTTGCGAGTGGCTTTTCAGAGTTTCAGACAGAAGACTTATTTTGCATATCTATGTGGAGAAGCTATGAATTGAACTAGATGATTTTCATACGAAGCATGTGCTCTGTATGTACTTTTAATAGCGTGCATTTCTGAGAAAAAAACATCAGCATAATTTTTGCCTAAAATATAGAATACTTTGTTTACTTTTATCCTAAAACCAGTTATGTAAATATCAGGTTTGTACATTCAAAAAGAAAAAAGCACACTGCTCTGGAGAAATCTGGGCTTTATTGGAAGTACAGCAAGATTCCTCCAAAGTTGTCCTTTTTTAATATAATAACTTTATTACATTTTAAAAAACAGAAAGATAAAAATTAACAAGAACTAATAATTGAGGAAGAGGATAGAAAGAAAGAAAGAAAGAAAGAAAGAAAGAAAGAAAGAAAGAAAGAAAGAAAGAAAGAAAGAAAGAAAGCAAAAGTGCAGAAAAAGAAAGAAACAGAAATACACCAAAAAAGAATGACTTTGACTTCCTTTATAGCAGATACAAGTAAAGCATACATTAAACTCTTACTCTAAGATTTCAACTTAACATCCATTTTTTCTATAATCTGTTAATTTTACTAATCATCAAATCCACATAGCATAATTTTATTTTTTTCTGTTTCCTGTTTCTGTTTTCTAAAATCTAGATCCAATTTTATTTTTTTCTGTTTCCTGCAAAAAATCCAAAGGGGTCTCCCAATTAGCATTAAAGATTCCTCCAAAGTTGTCTGATGTGCATTGGGCTACTTCCAGAATTTTGGAAGTAGATACAGAAAGGTATGTGTGGGTTTTTCAGATACAGTTAATTACAAATTATAGATTTCCCCACAGTTCTCCATAAAAGGAAAATGGCAGGCAGAACGGAGAGGGTGCAGTTTTGTAATCTAAGTTTCTACTAGAAAATAATTTTACCAGAATGTTTTTTTCTCATACTGTTTCAAAAATGGGAGATGTAAGATGAACGTTATCGGAGGATGTGGTGATATGTTTTGTTGTGACTGTCGGTCTTTGGCAGAATCAAGGCTCAGAGCTCCAAGAATAGAATGAGAACCATCACTAACTGGGAGGCATCTGAACCTACTACATCCATTTAGTGGCTGGATGCTGATCCAATTGTTTTCATCAACTCCCCCCTGTGATGTATACTCCCAAAGTAGGTATGTGCATACACACAAACACAAGTGTACATGTCCAGAAAGACCTATCCGCAGAAAGGAAATCACAGCAGCAAGTGAGTTGTCCAATGGGAGAATGTGGCAAACTGAAGTCTGGACTGAATACCTTACAAGTTGCTGGCAAAGCATCTCAGTCTGGACAGGGATTGTGTAAGCCAACTTAGAGTCAAGCCAGCATAAGCACAGAACTGGAGTGCCTTAAAGAGTAAAGCAGATCCACATTTTCTGCTTGGCCCATTGCCAGTACAGACCACTCACCAATCTCTGAGTTCAGGAACAGATGATGTCATCATCTTCCCACCTCCAACCTAGGACAAATGCATCTTACACCTGTGTTTTCCATCTTTGATTCAAAATGGCTGTTTTGTGAACCTGAGCTTCCCTTCAGAATGGATGGTCTCCTGAGCTTTGTAGTAGCAGCCCCAGCATGGATTGGCTGTCGTGTCTGGCATGCCCATTTTTTCCTGACACTGCTGATGGCCTTGGGCAGCTATTTTGTTCTGGGCTGCTGTGCAGTTATTTTCTTGGCTGGTTGGCAGTTGCTGGTTTCTTGTAGTTGATCTGACAAGGCCCCCTGAACTCAATGCACTACCCTCCACCCTAGAAGCTTAGGCTCCAGTCAACCCTTACACCCTCCAGTGAGATGTTCCTTTGGTTTCTATCCAGTCTGGGTGAAACCTGCTCCCCTTGCTTTCCCACTCTCTGCCCACATTAGTGCAGTTTCTCTTCCCTCCCCTTTCTTATTTTTTTACATCTTTAAGTGGTAACTAGGAACATAGCTTTCTTTCTAAAAAAACTGGACTAACAGTTCTTCCTTAAAGTTTTCATGAGTCTACAAAGGAATGTAAAAATGAAAGAACAACTCGTTCTCTATTGCTTTAATTATTGTAGTAATGGAACTACAATGTTACCATAAGGGGAAAAAAAGCAAAAAATAGAAAGTGTCTAGTATCAAAGGACGCAATGTGTGCAAACATGTGGAAAAGCATTTGTGTGCAAACAATGTGTACAAACATCTGGGAAAGCAAAGAAAAAGGCCCAAGAATTAGAAGAATGGAACAATCCCTTTAAAAAGGCAGGCACTGGTAGACTGATCCAGAAAGAAGCCAGGCAGGGAGGCTTGTCTCCTCTGCAGGGATGGGATGGACAAGAACCAGTCAGGTCTTGCAATAGGCATAGTCCAGAGTGGGCACCGGGCTGGCCCCCTTGCAAATGCACTGTCCTCTGGATAGGAATTTCTGAAGTTGCCTGAAAAACAGGTAAGAGGAACATGGGAGACAAGCAGCTTAGGCTGTAGTACCCAATTGCCCTAAATTAGAGCAAGCACATATTACAGTAAGTTAGAGTAGTTAGAGTAGGCAGATGTAACATGAAGCACACAATTGAGTAAAACACCCAAACTTCATAGAGATCTGAACTGCGAAGGGATCTTGAAGTGGATAGGTTAATGCAGATGATGAGATGTATGACGTTAAAAGGAAAAAAGAAAATCTAATCTAGCTTTTTTAAGAACATGGCTGAAAATAAAAGTGCCCTTATAATAATACCCTTATATTAGGTCAGTGCATGCCTTGAAAATTATTTGGAACAGGTACAGTACTTCAGAACGCACAGGAGCACTCCTTTAAAGCAGCCGTATCTTTTACTTATTTACATTGGCTTCCACATGAAAGACACATGTTTTTAGGAGTTACATTAAAGACAAGGCTGCTTTAATAAGTCACTTTATAATCCTAGGTATAACACATAATATCCTAAGACTTGGGATATCATGTATTAAAAAGGCCATTACAAAAATAGAAAAGACACAGAAAATGGCAATCAAATTGTGAAAGGGTTTGAGCAGCTCTATTACCTCATTTCCCTGTAATTCTTAATATGACAAAAGGAGGGAAACTATTACATATAAATGAAGAGTAATCATAAAGTGTATTTAATTACTTTAATTTTTTAGTTTTCTCCATCACTCCACCCATTTGTCAGAATTTCCCCTTAGCACTTCACTCATAGACTGAATTCAGCCCTTGGTGTGAAAACATTTCCCATTTGTTTTTCATTGTGATTAATTTGCAAGCTCCTCCCCCAAGGTCTCTCTCTTTTGGGACATGAGATCTAACAAGACATTATTGCTGGTATGTTTAGGCACTTCAGGACATGTGTTATTGTATTTCTACTAGTTCTATCAGGGCCAGCTCTATCATTTGGCAGTACGTGACATAAAGATACCAAAGTATTTTCCATGAGGTGACCCATCAATCCCTATGCTGCCTGATTTTTTCTCCTTGATTATTATCATCAAGAAAAAACCTTATGAATTCTGTTTTTATTATACTCAGTCATCAAAATTAGGCAAGGTCAGTTTAGAGTTTGTATAGCTGATGGTCATATTCAGTTTTTCATGCAAAACTAGTGGTTTGTTTGTTTATTGGAAAGTAGACTTTTCAATTGAATAGCTTGAAATGAGAAAAATTGAAGGAAAAAGGTGTTGGAATAGGAACTAAATCCTGTCCTTTTATTTATAGGCTGAATGATTCTTCATTCTTACTAATTTTGCAGCCAGGCTTCATGACCAACATCTCTGGAAGGTGCCAAGTTGGGAAAACTGATCTACTTCTAGGGTTACAATTAAGAATCTTGAGGTTGATGTTAGTTAAAACTCAAACATCAGGTATATATTCCGCTTCTGCATTTTATTTGCATATTAGAGATAAAAGCCTCTTTCCCCAAATAATGTGTATATTTAATTTAAGGGAATCGCTGCCAGGCTGTGCTTCATTCCATAACATACAGCCCATTGTGTGCTGGGTAATAAAAGCACAGTGCTGATATTTGGAAAGCTGATATGGCAGAATAGTGAAGCCATTGATTCTCATCCAAGAAGTAAATTAACTAGACACATTTTCTTCAAACATTTCATGAATTAATTAATGCAGCTTAAGAAACTTTAGAGGCAGAAACATGTCTTGTTATTCTTTAGCTGTACATAAACATCTTTTAACCTAGGAAGATTATTTGCTCTACTGTCTAAGGGCAAGTTAAACGTAAGCCCTGAAATAACCACATTTCTCATCAATTGTTTTGCTGAGAATCAAAAGGAATGAAGTACCTTGTTTTTAAGTAGAGAACATCTTAATAGCAAAAGAACAATGTCTCTTCTCTGTATAGTTGCTATGCTCTCAGGACGAGATGATGGCCCAACAAAGCATAAAGCGGATGCCACCAATAAATCATGGAGTCTATAATGTATTGGGTTGAACTATGAGAAATGTATATAATGGTTTAGGTGGGGTTATGCCCTCTCCCTGTCCTTACAAAGAAAATGACATAAAGAAGTTGTGGAGTCCATGTCTAGCTGTAACATAATTAATCATTAGAGTGAACTTAACTGTAAGTTACTAGACTCTCATATTAATTCAAATAAATTTCCATGGATTGATTTAATAGTGTCCTAATAGACATCATAGAGTTGGGGTAATTTTCAAGTTCTGTCTGAACTATTGGAGAATGTAATTCTTTCTAAGGGGAGTTTTTGGCAAAATGGGCCTTCTCCTTTTTTTTTTCATGAATCATATAGAGAACTTGGAAACAGCTATAGGTCTAGTTTTAATATTGTTATTAATAATATATAATATTATCATATAATATAATTTTAATAATCTTGAAGCAAACTGTGGACTTCTTGCTATTGCTTCCTTTGCTGATAGGCAACTTGTGTTTTCCAGAAACTTTGGACTATTGCTCCCACCATCTTTTCCCATAGACTTCTCTGCCTGGAGCTGACAAAGCTGAAATGGAGGCCTCCAAGTGGCTTAATGTTAATTTACCCCATCTACCAATATTAACTATAACTTAATTAACATTAAGTAATCCAGAATTTCTCAATTTGCTTTAACAGCCCCATTCAGATTATTGGAGAATTTCACTTCCCTCCTTAAAAATGCAGCAAAATACATCTCCCACACTTCATTTCACTACCAACAGATAGCTATTTTTCTCACTTCCATGTCATATTCATAAATATAGCCACAGGGGGCAAAAGGGGAGAAACATTTTTCCCCCTAATATCCACATTATAATCAGTATTCAGACATTTAGCAGTAAAATTTAATCCCCTGAAGTATGCATTTATATGGTAATTCTGTCCAAATATTTATCAGTAATGTCAGCTTACAGCAGTGCCTGCAGAGAGGCATCAAAACAGTCAACATGGTGGTCACAGCATTTCAGTCCCTGTCCCACCCCTTTTTGATATGAATTGATGTTACACACGTGCATAAAGGGGCAGAATTTTAATCACAATATGCAAGTGCCATCTTGACTGTACTGACACACAGAGACACCCGCAAACACTGTTGTGAGCTGATTAAAACCATGGCCCCCAGTACGGCTTCTTTCTTTAAACAGATCAACTTTCCATGAAGTTGGTATTCCTTGGAAAGACTGATGGTGACTCATGTCCAAAATGTGTCTTTCTCAGCCCCAGCTAGACTGTAGTTACTAAGGCTTTTCTAGGCAAGAATAAAACAGAGGGAAGACAACGTTATCAAATCTGAAGGAACAAAGTCTAAAACAATTATAAATGAACAGTTTGAAAAGCTGATGATAGATCAAGGAGATATTGGGCAAAAAAGGAGCTCCTTCCTGTAAAAACATATTCATTTTTAATACATAAATATAGTTTGAATGGCTCATCAACAGGAAAGTCTTGCCTGGCATATATCCAGGCCTTTTAAGCTCTTGAGGTTGTAGCTGCATAATAGTGCATATAGGCAAAGCGGGCTATTTCTAAACACATCGTCACTCTTATACTTTAATTTGGTTTTTAATTTGAGCTGTCTTTTTTATGTGGCTTTTTGTCGTGAGTGGTTTCAAATTGCATTACAGTAGTTTGTATCTTTACATTTTGTTTACTTCATTGATCTGCAAACCACTCTGAAAATATTTTCTGGTAGATTATATAGAATTTTTTTTCTCCTAACAGCAGCATTGTTCTGGCATGGTGGCTTGTTTAGATGGGTGAGTGGCCATACAGATGTCGTCATTCGTTTGGTGCTGCTCAATTGTTTGATATGGCCAATGTTTCCAGAATAGTTTTTATGAAAGCATGTAATCTGTCTATCAGTATGACATGATAGCATAACTTGTTATGCATTTTATTTGAACTTTTAACTTATTCTCATCTGCCTCATGTTTTTGCACTGTTCTATCTTACTGTTATTTTATCAAGACTAATATGATTTTTATAGAGCCAACAGGTTCTGGAGAGACTGAAATTAACGGTCAGCCTGCAGATCCTCTGGATGACTTTGTATCTGTCATGAACTCTCAGGTCATATGATCCCACAATGATAAGGGGAATAAAACTGAAGGAATACTGTACATTTGAGAGCCAGTTCGGTGTAGTGATTAAGCCTTCAGACTAGAAACTGGGAGACCGTGAGTTCTAGTCGTGCCTCAGACACAAAGCCAGCTGGGTGGCCTTGGGCCAGTCACTCTCTCTTAGCCCTAGGAAGCAGGCAATGGCAAACCACTTCTGAAATCTTG